AACCTGGCCCATGCAGCTCACAGAAACACTGAGCAGGACAGTCCCACTCTTCATTTCTGCATTGCAATTTGTAGTTTCCTTTAGTTTTTTTAAAAATTAAAAGTCAAAATGGATTTTTTTTTAATTTTTTTTTTCAAGATCTGCCCAAAGCAAAGGTTTTAATTTTTAAGCAGTTTGCTGCTCTGCTTTCCCCAAAGCATCCCAGGGCAATGGAGATCTTGGTGTAGCAGTTTCAGAAGCTGACATGGAGCAAACTCTCTCTGTTCACTGCTGAGACCTCAGCAACAGAAAAGCAGTGATCTGAAAGATTTACTCATTTTTAATTAGTGAGAAGGCAAAAATCCAGCAGTGCCTCACCTGGACTTCTCTCCTCAGTGCCAGAGAAGAGATCCCATCAATTCTGCTGTGCTGAGACCTTTCCTGGCTCTTCATCCACAGACACTCATCACTGACTGAGACCCAGGGGCTGCAGCACCCAGAAATTCCCTTTATTCCCAGAAATTCCCTTTATTCCCAGAAATTCCCTTTATTCCCAGAAATTCCCTTTATTCCCAGGGCAGCAGCCCCGAGGGTCAGTGAGAGCCCAGCAGCCCAGGGCCAGCACTCCAAGTGTCACCTCCCCTTCAGCAGGTGGGGTTCTCCAGCCTGGGCCATGGGGATTGCTCCTGGCCCCAGATCCCGCTCCAGAGGCTCCAGGGTTTGATGGCACAAAATGGCCCTGAACTGTGCAGCCTTTTTATCTTTATATTTATTCTTATCCAATTAACAAGAGACACGTAGATTATTTATCTCAATGACCCAATGACCCATCACCTGTGTGCTGCACTGTGACATTTTTTAACCAATCACTCATTACTACCCAAAAACCTCTGGAAGAAGAAAATGAAGAAAGGAGACAAATCTCTGAATCCTCCATTTTGGCTTTTGCTTTCTAAATTAGTTTAAATTCTAAACTAACTTTTTCACCCAATGACTTGAGAAAACTTTCTAATCTGCACACTCACACTTTGAGCTTTTCTATCCAACTTCAACAGTTGTTTTCACGTATCACCATGAAAACACGCTCATGAATTGAATGTTATCCAAAGTTCAGTGTTCTCCTGGATCTCAGAGCCGGGAATCAGAGACAAGGGCACACGCTCTGTGTCTCAGACTCCAACACCCCCTCCCTGGCGCTGGCACACCCTGCGGGCAGCCTGGGCACAGCCTGGGCTCAGCCAGGGCACAGCCTGGGAACATCCTGGGCACAGCCTGGGAACATCCTGGGCACAGCCTGGGCACAGCCTGGGCACAGCCAGAGCACAGCCAGGGCACAGCCTGGGCACAGCCTGGGCACAGCCTGGGAACATCCTGGGAACATCCTGGGAACATCCTGGGCACAGCCTGGGCACAGCCTGGGCACAGCCGCCTGCCCCTGGCTCTCCTCCCGCTGGGAACCACCCGCAGCTCCGCGGGAATGGGATTTTCCCTGTTTGTAACAGCTCAGCTCCGGTTTGGAGAGCCCAGGAGCAGCTCTGTAACACCTCAGCTCTGGTTTGGAGAGCCCAGGAGCAGCTCTGTAAATCCTCAGCTCCACTTTGGAGAGCCCAGGAGCAGCTCTGGTTTCACCTCAGCTCTGGTTTGGAGAGCCCAGGAGCAGCTCTGTAACACCTCAGCTCCACTTTGGAGAGCCCAGGAGCAGCTCTGTAAATCCTCAGCTCCGGTTTGGAGAGCCCAGGAGCAGCTCTGGTTTCACGATGGACCCGTAAAAACATGCGGCTGCAATCTGTGAGGGGATCTGTGCAGAGGATCCAGACACATCAACCGCCAGCTGACTGCAGCTGAATTATTAAATCAATGTTTTATTCTTTTAGGAGGAAAAACATCACATCTGAGGGGAAAATTATTTTTAATACAAACAAAAGACGGGCCTCGAAAGTCTCAGCCTACCGTGCCTACAATCACAGCCCCTCAGATGGAGAAGGTCTTTATTAAAAATGCTCTTTAAAGTTAAATATATTCTTGTTTTGCAGGCAGTGCCTGTTCCAAGCAGAAACACATCTTTGCTGTGATTCCAGGGAAAGGCTTTTCTCTTCAAAGGAGAAAAAGGAGAAATACATAAAAAGAGATATTTTGTTTCACAGGGTAAAGAATCTAAGATCTAAGAAGTGACTGCTTTGGAGGGACCTCAAAGCCCATCCAGTGTCACCCCAGCCATGGCAGGGACACCTTCCCCTGTCCCAGCTGCTCCAACCTGGCCTTGGACACCTCAGGGATGCAGGGCAGCCCCAGCTGCTCTGGGAATTTTAATGGTTAATCCCCACCTGATGTCATCGGCTCAAAAGCAATGATGGCCAAATTGATTCCAACAGGTAAACGTGGAAAAACTCATTTGGAAGGATTTCAGTGAGTCCTTCCAGCTCAGACACTTCCCAGAAGAAGCGGAGGCTCCCGTGTCCTTGAAGAGCTGCCTGAGATGTGCACTCAGACAAGCAGGAGAATTTACAAGGACAGGTCTTTTTTCTCTCTCTAAATAAATAACAAGCTGAGAAAGGAGTGCTCAGAGAATGTTCAGTGAATTGGCAAAGATTTCTTTGCCTTTTTTTTTTATCAAACCCTTCATTTTTATCAGCAGTTAACTCCAAAATGACCGGCTACAGAAGGCACTGGTGGGGAAGGAGATGATCTGTCAGCTCCCTTCCAAGCCAGACCACTCAATGAATTACCCTGAAAATTATCCTCAGAGTCAAACATGGGCAAATTATTCACCTGTGTTAAAGAAGGAGAAGGAAAAGGGCTGCAGGGAAGATGAGGGGTGGATCAGCTCCACCTGGAGAGGACGGGATCAGCTCTCTGAAAAAAGAACAAAAAAACCAATCCTTGATTCTCCCCCAAAGCCAAACCCTGCTGGGCACCTGGACAAGAAACACAACGGGTCAAAAAGCAGCTGTAGGCTCCTCCCTCGGGGGAGGAGGGAAAGAAAAGCTCAATTTCGAGCAATTTGGACAAATATGAGCACCCAGGCAGGGCTGAGCCCAGTTCACTGTCTGAGAGGAGCTTCTCACAAACTCCTTCCTCCCAGTTTCCCCTCCCAGTGTGGAGGCTTTAAACACAAGCAGCTGAAGACAAGCAAACAGCAGAAAGCCGTGGAGAAGCTCCTGGATGCAGGAGAGCTCGGGGAGCAGTGCATTCAGTGGAGAGACAACAGTTCCCAGTGTCACCAGCACTGCCAGGGAAACACAATGCATGGATATTCCATTGACACTTGGAGCATAAATCAGGCGGAATTGCTCACAGAAGCAGACCCAAAGCATCTCGCTGTGAATCCAGAAGAGTAAATTCGGAGTCTCTCGGGAACTCTGCCATCATTTGTTTTCATTTCTCTGACTTCTCCTCATTTCTGCTCGGGATTAGCTCTCCCAACAATGAGCACAGCAAGAGGGAAACCTGCTCCCAGGGGAATGGGATGAAAGCAACATTTACCAAAGTAAACCCAAGCGAAGAAATCAAAATATGAAGAATTAAGTTTAAAAAAAGCCAGTCACAAAGTACTTAAAAAAGAGAACCAAAATGCCTTTAACTCTTGCTCAACCACTAAAAACTCTGTAGCCTTGCTGGGAGGCTGAAAAGCAGAGAAAAAAAAACAAACTCCAAACTCACCAGAACCTCCCAAAATCCTCTTTTGCACTTCTTCACATTGCCCACACTGTGCACAATTTGTTCCCTAAGGATTTTGCATTTTATCTAAATACAGAAAAGCCACATAATATTATCACCTTTGATTTTTGACTCCTGTTTATCTTGGGTTCAGACCAACATAATCCAGCCAAGGATGTGAGCACACAAACTGCTCCTCACATTATCCAAGCAATGCCATTATTAGCATTTTATTGGCACATGAAGCCAAAATGAACGAGCTCGAGTCCTTGGCAGCCCGTTCCACCTCGATTTAGCTTTTAATTACAATTTGCCTAATTTTCAGTGTCTTGTCCTCGGGGAGGCAAACCCCGAGCTCCATCTGGAGAAACCCTGGCTTCCTTCTCCTCCCCAGTGATCCAAATGCTCTCCATGTCCTGGCCTGGGTCTGGGGAGGTTCCAGGGTCATCTCTCAGAGCTCTTGGTTGAACTGAAAACCATTGAAAACCATTGAAAACCATTAAAAACCATTAAAAACACATCCAGGAGCTCCCCCAGAGGTGAAATCATGGAGCAACTGATGGGAAACACAGAGCAGCTGGAGATTCCAGCAGGGAACAAGGAAAGCAGCACCTGAATGTGGCCTGAGACAGGTGGCAAGGCCTGGATCAGCCTTTCCCTTCTCCCTCCCCATCCCCATAGCCAGGAATTCCTTCCCAATATCCCATGACCCTGCCCTCTGGCACTGGGAAGCCGTTCTCCCTTGTTCTGGCACTCTGAAATGCTCATTTTCCCAAGGAGCAGAAAGTTACTTTATCTCCCTGATTATAAAAATATCCAGCACACACCTAAATAAAAATTACTGGGAGTTAAAGTATCCCCTTCACTCCAAGCAAACAGAAATCTATGGATTTAAGGAGTAAGAACTTAAAAATTTAGGTCTCCTGAGGAAAAAAAAAATTACAATCATTACAAAAATTATAATCATACGAGCATTTTTGGAGCAGCAGGAAGGCAGAGATGTCCTGATGTTCCTCCAGGCAAAACATCCTACCTGTGTAGCCAGAGTGACTCTTTTGTTCCCAATATCCTCAGATTTCCGATGGATCTCACTGGAATCTGCACACAAACCCCCTCTGGTTTTCCATCTCTCCAGTAAAAACCACCAGCCCTGTGTTATTTTCCCCATGGAATCATGGAATTCCCCATTATTTCATGGAATCTCAGAGTATCCTGAGCTGGGAGGGACCCACGGGGATCCAGTCCAGACACCCCAACAACCCCCCCATCCCTGACAGCATTTTCCACTTGAGTTCTGGCAAAAAAAACCCAACTCTTCAGATAGTTCCTCCCCTGAAATCCCCCTGAAAACAGGCTTGAAATGCTTCTTAATTACAAAAGTTAAATATTTATTTATACAAATATGATGAGAAAAATCTCATGCAGACTCTTCACACACAGGAACAGAACCCAAATCCGACTGGGATGGCTTCACCACAGAACTGGGGTTGGAAGGCTGAGGGGGACGTGGCGCCCGCGGGAAGTTCTGGGTCGGAGAGCTCTCCTATGGAACATGTGCCAAGATTTTCACACTCTTCACCAAGATTAACAATTAATAGCTGATCACTACTACTCAGAGGACTGGACAGAGACGGATGAGCAGCGGGAGCGGATCCTGCAGACCACCAGACCCCACACACTTGGTGGAAATGCCGAGTGGCCAAAAGATTGTTGGAGATAATTCCCCTAAATGATGGCAATGCCTTGAGATTGCTCTGGATGGCATCTGCTTCTGCTTAATTATAAATCTGCATCGGAGTCATAACTTGTGTATATTACAAGTAATTTGCATAATTAAAACAATTAAGGGATCGACATATCATGGCAATTAGAAATGCATCAAACTCGGGATGTTGTACAAAAGAGAGCTTCAATATGAAACATTAATTCTTTGAGAACAAAACATCCTTCCCGTTCCTGCCGAACAGCCTTCCCAAATCCGCTGGAGGCTCCCCAGGCTCCGTCCAGAGGCGGTTTTCCCTCGGGATCTCCCACTCCTGGTGGTGCTCTTGGACCCCGAGCGTTTCCCATCCTTCCTTGGAATCCCCTCCCGCAGACGTGGCCTGGGCGTGTCTTTATTGCCAGTTTCAGCTGCTTTTATCTCATTTTCCGTAGCCTTATCCTGTTTTCTTTGTCCCTCTTCTTGAGAATAAGAATGAACTGATTGAAAAAGTGCTCCTGGTCCTTCTTCTTCTGGACGAGGCGGAAGCGCTGGTCCCGGCCGTACTTCTCGGCGAATTCCTTGAAGGTTGTCCTGTGGGAAAGGAGAGCTTGGGAATGAATCTGGGGCTGTGCCAGGGCACCCCCAGAGCTGCACCCACCCCAAACACGAGGAGTGGGAATGGATGGCACCAACAGGATGGAAAATGCGGGATGAAGGAAGGTGAGACCACCCTAGGGCTTTGGACACCTGGAGCAGCCTGCAAGGAGCAAGGATTAACTCTGGGATTTGAAACTGGATTAATGGCTGGCAGGAGCCTGCTGAGCCATTAACACAGCACTCACAGACCAGTGGCACCGAGTTTTTATTTCAACTCCTGCATATTTTGTGCTTCCAAGGCGAGCACACCTTGCAGGGTTTGCTGCCTACATTGCCTTCCAGGCTGCATGCCCAGCTCCTTTCCCCAAGGTGACTCTTTGCTTTTTATTGGAAATATTCGGGATTTATTTCCCTCTCTGTGTGCCTAAATCAAGGCAGGGAAAGGAGCTTCCTCAGTCAGCTCCCAGAGCCCTTCAGGGGTGAAATGCTCCTGGCCTCTGGGCCAGCACAGCTTTTCCCTCAGAGACTGGGAATGTCAGTGCTGGATGCAGAGTCTGGGTGGGACATCAGCCCAGAATATTCCTAATGTTGTTGTAAAATGTTTCTTGTAATTACAATTATTATTACAGCCCCCCGTGCTGTTTGTATCCGTGTGCCCACACAGGTCGTGCTGAATAATTATCTGCGTATTTTATCAGAGAAAGCAGTAATTTCTTTGTTCCAGCAATTTAACAATGTTTATAATGTAAACCCCTTTGTTTTCATGTAATTTACAAATGAGAAACCACTGCCCTAAGCACTGCTACCATGTTGAGTCTGGGTCCATCACTTGAAAAACAAAGTGAAGCATCAATTGTGCCTTGCACGCTGTATTTTAATTTAATCACAGAACTGTAGAGTCACAGGAGGGTTTGGTTTGGGAGACACCTCACAGATCATCCTGTTCCAACCCCCTGCCACGGCAAGGGATGCATTCCATTAATTTAATGGCGTGGTATTAACAGGAACTTTGTGAAATTACATTTCCCTTCCACCAAACGCCGAGACTAAATACAATTTCTGAGTAATTACACTTACATGTGCAATATGGATGAGACTGAACATTGTGGTACTGATTTTACATAAGTAATGGGTGTTCTATAATCACATACAGGAATATGAAATAAATGTGCTGTGCAAAGGATTGCACATTCTGAGAGAGGGAGAGGGAGAGGGGAAGGGATGGAGAGAGGGAGAGATGGATGGAATATTTCCTCTCCCAGGAATGCAACAAAATACTGGAAAATATCAGGGAAGAAATGCCAGCATTGGAATTGGGATCTTCCACTTGCTGTGAAGAATTCTGGGCTGAAAAAGCTCAGCCTAAATGACAAAGCCGAGCTTCCCAACCCTTCCTAAGGCAATGCTCACCTTGGGGATAACTTGGATTCTTCCAGAAGCTTCTTGAACTCTTCCTTGGCCAACAGCAACTTGTTCTTCCTCTCTTTGTACTCCTCCCTGACCCGGGTCTTGACAAACTGCTCGAAAATCTGGCCAAGGAGGGGGCACAGGACGAGGAGTTATTGACAGAGCCTTTGTAGGGGCTGCAGTCCTCATCTGCCCTCCCCACGTGCCCAGGAGTTTTTATTCCATCACCTCCAAGGACTGGCCCCCTGTCCTGGCTCTAGCTGGCCATTTCATCGAAGGCTGGAAGAGTTTACATTAATCCCAGAACCCCAGACTGGTTTGGGCTGGAAGGACCTTAAATCCCACCCAGCCCCAGCCCTGCCATGGCCCAGGTTGCTCCAAGGCTGGTGAAATGATTTCAGGATTCCTTCCAAGGAATGTCTCTTGACTGACTCATCATGGTCCAGGTGTTGTCCTTGCCCTTTCCCTGCAATAAATCCCAAACTCCCTGCTCAGGCTCTCCAGCAGCACTTTCCATCCTGGCAGCTCCTCATACATTTTCATTCCTGTATTTCCTTATTATTTTGTTTCATTTTTCTTTTCCTTAGGAAAGGAAATATTGGAAAGGGAGTAAATGAAGATGTATGTGCCCAGTGCTCTGGTAAACACCTACAGGAAGCTCTCTGGACAACCATGGGCCAATATGGAATAAGTTCATTTTTCATCCTGTTTATTTAAAAAATGGACAATTCCATATTCAAAATTATTCCTTCTGCAGGATGACAAAAGGCTTTTAAGGGAGAGGAATAACCACAGAACAGCAGCGTTCACCTTCTCTGCAGGATCCCTGCATCTCCTCTGCATTTTGCAGATTCATCTGCAGACTTTGGGGCCCCTGGTGATAATTAATGCCCAAATTATCAAGGCAGCAAAACTCCACATGCCTTTGGAGCTGCCCAGAAAAGCCCAACCCTTGCAGAGAGCCCCAGTGCTGTGTCCAGATCCTGCCAGACTCCTGGGGAATTCCTCAACAGTGGAAATCCGGCAGTTTCTCCACAATATTCCAACAATTCAGGGTAGAAGCATCACATTTCCCTCCCTGCAGCCAGCCTTCCCAGGAGCTGTTCCTGCATCCCAAGGGACGGGAGCTGGTCCTGTGATCAGACCTTGCTTTTCCAAGGAGACAGCACTGGGAATCACAGAATACCCCGAGTGGGAAGAGACCAGCTGCCAGCCCCCCAAACCCTGGTGAGCACCACCCCGTGGGCCTCCAGAGGGGAATCCTGATCTGCAGGCACTGCCCAAGGAACTGCTCCAGGATCCCACTGGTGTTGCCCTGAAAACTCAGCTTCTGAGCTTGCTGACATGGTTTTCTAAGGACTTTTCCAGGACAGTAACTGTAAACATAGATATGTGTACATTCTTTCTGTTCCACGTCTTGTGATGGGCATCTCTCATGGCCAGTGCAGGGGGAAAGTGTTATCCTGACCATCCAATCCCTGGCCGTGGTCACAAGCCTATAAATCCTGGGAGGAAAAATAAACTCTGCTCTTTCTTCACCACACCTCGACCTGTGTCCGTGTGATCTGTTCAGCAGTAACACGCTGGGTTTTGGGAGGTGTTTGCTGCAGCCAGGCCCGGGCTGGGGGCAGAGTCACTCACCTGCCTCCTCTCCTCGGGGTTCAGCAGCAGGTAGCGCGGGTCAAACACCATCTTGTGCAGCTCCTTCTCCCACGTGGAGAACGCCGACACCTGGGGGCACGGCATTTAATGAGCATGGGGAAGGAGCAGATGTTCCCAGGAGCTCAGGGAGCTGAGGAACCCCTGGGCAGGATTCCTGGGGTGGCTGAAGGGGAATTCTGATCTCTGGCAGAGCTCTGGTGGCCTCCACACCACCAGGACTGATCTGCTCCTCAGCGAGGCTGGGGGAGATGCTCGCTCCCCATCCGTGGTGGAAGGAACCTGCAGCAGGCAGGAAATGCTGGATTGTGGCACTGTTTGTGCAGTTCCAATTGCCACAAAAGGGACAATTCTAACTGCAGAGCTGGGGCTGTGACCCAGCCGAGGCACTCGGGGGAAGCTGGCACTGAACATCTTCAGAGCACCACGTTCCCACGGCACGGGATGGGAATGTCACATCCTGCAGGGCTGCATCCAGCCCCACGGAGCACTTTGGGTTGGAAGGGACCTCAAAGACCACCCAGATCCATCCCCTGCCTGGGCAGCAGGAATTGCCAGTATTTCACAACCTTCTGAACATCCCCAGTCATTTGTTGGCTACAGGAAAATCTGAAGGAAATAAAATACTCTAATCACTCCAACAAAAGAGTGAATTTGCTAAAAAAAACCCCTTGGATGTGAAGTGCAGTTAAACAGTAATTAACATTCCAGCAGGAAAGCTCTGATGAAGCAAAGTGGCTTTAAGTGGGCTCGTTTTCCTCTCAGAGTGGTTTGAGATGGGGAAACCCAAAGATCAGGCTGCCCTCGGGATCTGAGGCCATGGGGAAACCCAAAGCTCAGGCTTTGGGGATCTGAGGCCATTGGGAAACCCAAAGCTCAGGCTGTCCTTGGGATCTGAGGCCAAGTCCCCCCAACATCCCCTTGCCACAGCCTGAGCTCCCCTCCCCGTGTCCCCTTTGTCCTGAGCTCGGGGGTTTCCAGCACCAGGAATCTTTTCCTGGTGTCTTTCACATTCTCCTGGACATCAGCTTCATTCCCAGCACCAAGCCAGCTCTGAGCTAAGGCTAATTAAGCCCAGACTAATTCATCAGGTAATCATTCCAGCTGAGGATTTTGTGCTCAGCAATCATTCCCTTGCACATTAGGCAAATGTCTCCTAAAACAACCTGGTATTTCTGATTTCATCCCAGTTACACTTCACACACAAATCCCCCTCTCTCCCCAGGATTAAGAAGGCAAAACCTTGAGACAAAACACCCCTGGAATCCTTTCAGAAGCCTGGAGAGCAGCCCAGCAGGGAGAAGACTTTCCTGGAAATGCTGGCTCAGAAGGTGGATATTCTGATGCTGGGTGGGAGAGGGAGCCAGGAAGAACCTTCAGTTTCCCTTTTCCTCTTGTGGAAACTTTGAAACTTCCAGAGGAATATCCAGATTTCTGACACAGGAAAACTCACCCCAGACTTCAGAATAAAGAGTGCTCATGTCTTGGAACTGCCCCAAACCCCCTCTATTTTTAAAATGTTACAATAAATATTCTTCTGTTGACATAATTTCTGTAGGAAGCTGCAGAACTCCTCTGGCAAACTCCATCTGCTTCGAGCTCTTTGTGATTCCTTCCAGCAACTCCTTGAGGAGGGCAGGGCAGGGGATGGTCATTAAATAATTAGATTTTGATGGCGTTAATGGCATCCCTGTGCTTCAGCCATGCCAAGCAGCTGCTGCTGAGCTGGACAGCTCAAAAAACGTTCAGAGTAAAAGCAAAGTAACCTCTTCTCTCCCCATTTTTAAACATTAGCAAATCCAAACAGTGAATTCCCCAAATTCCTTAATTTTAGGAGCAAATCTTACATAGAAACACCTGAGAATCCTGTTCTAGAACAGCCCTAAACCTTCCAAACATTGACTTATTGCCCCCTGAGTTGCAATCTGCCAGCAAAGTCTTCATGCAGAGCTCATTTATGGCCCTTCTGCATTTCTGCAGCATAAATAACAAGCTGTATTAATAAAGCAGCTCTGGCGTGGGGATAATTCACTGCTGAGCTGCTGAAGCTCTAATTATCCCCCTTTAAAGCCTGCTGATTACTGGGATAAATTTTATAGGCTTTAGTGCCTGACAACAGCCACCTTGGGCTGTATTTCCTGTGGGAATGGCATTCCCTTTATGGGATGCACGTGGCAGTGTGGGGGGAGGCAGAAGATCTGCACCCACTGCTCATTTTACACCTCCCTGTCCCCACAGAGCCCAGCCCTGGAGCATTCCCTGCTCCTGGGGCTCAGCACAGCTCCAAACATCTCCAGAGCATCCCTTCCCAAGGGTCTGGATGGGCATTAATGGCTCCCAGTGCCAGAGGGGAGATTTGGATGGGATTTTGGGCAGGAATTGTTCCTGGCAGGGTGAGGAAGGTCTGGGATGGAATTCCCAGAGCAGCTGGGGCTGCCCCTGGATCCCTGGCAGTGCCCAAGGCCAGGCTGGACATTGGGGCTGGAGCAGCTGGGACAGGGGAAGGTGTCCCTGCCATGGCTGGGGTGGGATGGGGGGGATTTGGGGTCCTTTCCAACCCAAACCATTCCTAATTCCATGGTTTTGGATGGTCAGTAAGTGAAATTGGCTCCCCAGTGCTGGAGTTTGGGGTGATGGGCACTCAGGAGCTCACAGGACAGCTCCTGAGGTGTGAGGTGCTGGCCAGGACAGCCCAGGACAGCTGTGCCCACAGCCCCACGTCCTGCTGAGCCACTGACCGTGCTGGAAGAGCTGCAGCCTCTGGATATCCCTGGGATACAAACTGGGAGTTTGTCTGGAAAGGGCTCCCGTGGCAGAAAGCCCCCAGTGGCACGGGCTGAGGGACAGAGAGCCCAGTGCTGGTCCCTGCCCAGGCTGCAGGAGCGTGCTGTGTCCCGGGAAGGGCTGCTCCTTACCCCCCTCTCCAGCAGCATGTCCCTGAAGTGGGTGATCCTCTCCTCCAGGGGCGGTGAGATCCGGCTGGCCGAGCCTTCCTCCCCTCCCTGCTCCTCCTCAGCCCCCGCAGCCTGGCACTCCTCTGTTCTTTACAGGGCAAGACAGACAAGAGGTCAGCAGTGCTCCCCTGCCAGGCCATTCCATCCTTTTAATCCTTTTAATCCCTTTAATCCCTTGAATCCATCCCAGAGGTGCTGGGAGCTGCCACGCCTGGAGCCCTGGGCGCTCAGGGATGGGGAATTGACCCAGAGCTGCAGCTGGGTACCAAACCCAGGGCTGCTGAGGCAGGATGGTCACTCTGACACCCAAATTCAAGGTGCAGCACAGTGACAGCTCCATGGGTGCAGCACAGTGACAGCTTCATGGGTGCAGCACAGTGACAGCTCCATGCAGCCCTCCCCAAGGAGGGGTGACCCTAAAGGGGCCTTGTCATGCCAAAAGCTACAATCAAGGGCTCAGTTCAGCAGGTCTGTGATAACCCACCACAAACTCCGTGCCTGCCCACGCTCAGGACAGCTGGGATGGGTGTGGGAAGCCTCAGAACTGCTGTGTCAGGGGTGATGCAGGAGGATGTGAAGCACACGTGGTAATTAATTGAGGTCAGCAGCAGGGGCTGGCTCTGAGAGCAGGGCAGAAACTGCTGCACTCCAGCCAGGGAAAGCTCTGAGCCAATCTTTGGAGTAACCCAAAATAAATTACAAAATTACAGCCTTGCTTTGTAAGCATTTCCTAAAGGAAGAGTTCCCCAGACGGAATCTGGTGATGCCCACGGGAAGAGCTGCAGAGAATCCTGGCTCTGGTGAGGACTGGACACCTGGAGAACAGCTCCCATCATTTCCCCACAGGGAACAAAACTGCACTCAGCTCGCCCTGCTTCGTAGCAGCCCTTCCCACCACCAAATACAGAGAAGGAAACTTCAGAACTTACTTATTTCTCTTAGTTTTGATGCTCAGATCATCGTTTTCATCCCCTGGACAAGAGCTAACGCACTTGTCTGCTGAAAAGAAAGAAGTCATTATCAGATTTGAATGAGAGAAATGGGAATACAAATTCCTCAATTTGACTTCTCTTCCCTCGTCTCTGCTGCTCAGGTATTTCCTGGCTTTCACCCTCCACAGAGGGTTTTAAAAATAAAAGTATTTTATAAAATCCTCAGAACTGCCTTCATCCAAATGGGAGCAACAGCAACAAAGTGACCACTTCCAGTCAACAAAATTCCTCATTTTTCATTCATGACATGATTGCTTTAAATCTTATTATTGTTTCACCTGATCCTCCCTTCCCTTCAAAACGCAGCCAAAGACATTCCTGCAAAATCATTTCTGTGCTGACAGCCTGGAGGATTCAGGGGAGGTGACTCCCAGCAGAGCTTCCCTCCTTCCCCATCCCTCCTCCTGGGACCAGCCAGCCTCAGGGTGCTTTCCCAGGAATTCCAGCAGAAATTCCAGGATTTCCTGGCAGGGCTGGGGAGATCCAGCAATCTCCACACAGCCCTGAGGCCTCAGAGCAGCCCCAGGGCCCGGCCAGCCCCTGCCCTGGACACGGCTCCCTGGGCACTCGGAGCTTGGGTTTCCAGTCACAGACAAGGGGAACAAATCCTGAATTCTGCAGTGTTTTCCCTTCTCCCTGCCAGCTGCAGTTGTCACCAAGCCCCAAAGGACACAGAGGTCACATCCTGCACTGCAGGGCCCCAGCACAGCACTGGGAAATGCTCAGGGGCTGTTTCTCTTCTCTGAGTGCCAAAGGACCCAAAATCTCTGTGGGAATTCCGTAAATTACATAACCCCAGGTTTTCAGGAGGAATTCTCCCAGCTGGACCAGGCTGGACAGGGCTGGAGCAGCCTGGGACAGGGGAAGGTGTCCCTGCCACGGCACTGAGGGCTCGGAGCTCTCCCAGCCCAGCCATTCCAGGATCTGCTGGCTCCATGATGTCCATTCTCTGTTGATGACCAGGAGAAGCTCCTCAGCCTGAGCCTGAGCTGCAGGAGGAGATCCCAGCAGATGGATTGCTGCCCCTCCTCTCCAGCCCTGCTGGGAACCCATGAGGGAAGAGCCACATCAATCTCCTGCAACCAACACTCAGTGGAGGAGGAGTAATTGGGAAATGAGCAATTTTTCATTTATGCCCAAATTTAAAACCCACTTGATCCTTCAGCAGAGACAAGCCAGAGCATCCCGTGGATAACTTCACTTGACTTTTCTTTTATTTTTTTAAGATGTTTGATTTAAAAATTCTAATTAAAGCTCAGCAGCAGCCACTCAGCAAAATAAATGTGGGGAGCATGGTTGGGAACACTCAGCTCGTTTGTGTTATTTATTTACTGGAGATTACGAGCCAAGAGAAGAGGTAACAAATAATTCCCCCTCACCTCAGAGCTAATCTACACTAATTACAAAGTGCTCCAACACTGAGCAACCACAAGGCCCAATTACAGCAGGGAAGATTAAGACTGTTTAACAACAATGAAAGTCACGGCCTTAAAAAAAAACCAAAAAAACAGGAGCATGAATCAAATCTTTGTGGTAGAGATAATAAATGAAAAGGATGGAACACAGCAAAAAATAGATTTTTGAAGTGGCACCTATCAGCCCTGAGTTTAGACTCTTCTGTTAATTAATTAGAGAGCAGGAACAATGGTAGAGACCATGAACAATGACCCTCAGCTTTGTCCCTGGCCATCCCTTGGCAGGAATTCACTGAGCTTTCCATACATCCCGCAATTAAAAGCTCTTTTTCTCTCCTGAAGAATGAATTGCAGCAGATTGGCTTTGGAGGAATTAGATCCACAGCTACAATCCCTCAAACCACACAGAAATACGGAACACAAGCTCCTGCTGAGGAAACTCCCAGAGAAAAATGCAATTACAGCTGTGGCAACAGGACAGGGAGGGAGAAAAGCTGATAATGGCTCACCCCTGTGTCCCTGCAGGCCTGGGCTGTTGGGTGATGGGGGTTTGTGGGGTTATTTGGGGTTTGCAGGGGTTATTTGGGGTTTTCAGGGGTTGTTTGCTGTTTTCAGGGGTTGTTTGGGGTTTTCAGGGTTATTTGAGGTTTGCAGTGATTATTTGGGGTTTGCAGTGATCATTTGGGGTTTGCAGTGATTATTTGGTGTTTTCAGGGGTTATTTGGGGTTTGCAGTGATCATTTGGGGTTTTCAGGGGTTGTTTGGTGTTTTCAGGGTTATTTGGGGTTTGCAGTGATTATTTGAGGTTTGCAGTGATCATTTGGGGTTTGCAGTGATCATTTGGGGTTTGCAGTGATTATTTGGGGTTTTCAGGGTTTATTTGGGGTTTTCAGGGTTTATTTGGGGTTTTCAGGGTTTATTTGGGGTTTGCAGTGATCATTTGGGGTTTGCAGGAGTTATTTGGGGTTTGCAGTGATCATTTGGTGTTTTCAGGGGTTATTTGGGGTTTGCAGTGATCATTTGGGGTTTGCAGTGATCATTTGGGGTTTGCAGTGGTCATTTGGGGTTTGCAGTGATCATTTGGGGTTTGCAGTGATCATTTGGGGTTTGCAGGGGTTGTTTGGGGTTTGCAGTGATCATTTGGGGTTTGCAGTTATCATTTGGGGTTTTCAGGGGTTCACTGGCAGCTGTCCCCCTGCACCAGAGGCAGTGCCCATCCCTGCTGGCCCGGGGGGACAGGACAGGTCCCACAGCAGCCTGGCAGTGCCACCACCCCGAGCTGTGATAAAACAACCACGAGCCTCATTTCCTCCCCCTCCCACTGAGGAACGAGCAGCAGCTGCAGGGTGGTGGCCGCTCTTTCCCCACCAAAACCAGAATATTCTGGAACTCGCAGCAGCCAGCCAGGGCCAGGAGCAGTTCCCACATCCCAGTAAAGCCAGCAGGAAGCCTCAGGAGCTGTGGCAGGAGCAGGGCAGCCTTTGGAGCAATCCTCTGAGCGGGCAGGAGAGATTCCTGCTGGGATTTTCCCTCCTGCCCAGGCTGGAGGAGCAGCAGGGAGCTGCGTGTGCCTCGGGAGCAGCTGAGTGATGCTGCCAATGCCCAGCTCCAGCTCGGGCAATCAAACACCCTGAGCCTCCTGAGAGGGACAGCGTCCATCTCAGAGCCATCCCCTGCTTCCTCCTGCCAGCCAGGAGCAGCCTCAGCCCCCGGCTCCCAGTTCTGCTGAAAACAACGTTCTGCCCAGTTCTGCTGAAAACAACGTTCTGCATCACCCTCAGCTTTCCCTGCACCGGGAATCTCCCTGCGGCCCTCTAATTCCAGCCCTCAGCACAGCCAGCTCCGGATCCCAGGGGATCCCAGGGGATTCCAGAGGATTCCAGGGGTTCCAGGGGATTCCAGGGGATCCCAGGGGTTCCAGAGGATTCCAGGGGGTTCCAGGGGATCCCAGGGGTTCCAGGGGATTCCCTGGGATCCCAGAGGATTCCAGGGGATCCCAGGGAATTCCAGGGGGTTCCAGGGGATTCCAGGGGATCCCAGGGGGTTCCAGAGGATCCCAGAGAATCCCAGAGGATCCCAGGGGTTCCAGGGGTTCCAGGGGATCCCAGGGGGTTCCAGAGGCTCCCAGGGGACCCCAGAGGATCCCAGAGGATTCCAGAGAATCCCAGGGGATACCAGGGGATTCCAGGGGATCCCAGAGGATCCCAGGGGTTCCAGGGGATCCCAGGGGATTCCAGGGGTTCCAGAGGATCCCAGGGGATTCCAGGGGATTCCAGAGGATTCCAGAGGATCCCAGGGAATCCCAAGGGATCCCAGGGGTTCCAGGGGATCCCAGGGGATTCCAGAGGATTCCAGATGATCCCAGAGGATCCCAGGGGTTCCAGAGGATCCCAGGGGGTTCCAGAGGATTCCAGAGGATTCCAGAGGATTCCAGGGGATCCCAGAGGATCCCAGAGGATTCCAGAGGGTCCCAGGGGTTCCAAGGGATCCCAGGGGATTCCAGGGGATCCCAGGGGATCCCAGGGGTTCCAGAGGATTCCAGGGGTTCCAAGGGATCCCAGGGGATCCCAGAGGATCCCAGAGGATTCCAGAGGATCCCAGGGGTTCCAGGGGATCCCAGAGGATTCCAGGGGATTCCAGGGGTTCCAGGGGATCCCAGAGGATTCCAGAGGATCCCAGGGGTTCCAGGGGATCCCAGGGGATCCCAGGGGTTCCAGGAGATCCCAGGGGATCCCAGGGGATTCCAGGGGATTCCAGGGGTTCCAGGGAATCCCAGGGGATCCCAGGGGATTCCAGAGGATCCCAGAGGATCCCAGGGGTTCCAGGGTATCCCAGGGGTTCCAGGGGATCCCAGGGGTTCCAGGGGATCCCAGGGACAGGGCAGCAGTGCCAGGGTTGGGTTACTTGCTGCAGGCTCCAGCTTGCGCTTGTGCGGGGGGTCCTCGAGCAGCCGCTTGATGTCCCCGCGGTGCCTCAGGTCCAGCGGCCGCTCCCACACCGACAGCTGCATGCTGGGGTTGAAGAAGAACACCCGGTCATCTCCAGTCCACACCACACACCTGCTCCAAGGGATAAAGCAGCCTTAGAGCCTGGCCAGCACCAGGAATCACCCGCAGCGGGGCACTGCAGCCCTGGGGACAGCCCAGGACAGCCTGGGGACACCCTGGGACAGCCCAGGACAGCCTGGGGACAGCCTGAGACAGCCTGG